ATTAACACTCTAGTTACGCCACTGGGTATTAGTGTTTTTCTGATCGAATCTAGAGACGTCTTCCCGGTCACTCCAGCTTGTTATACACTGATGGGGCGTGTTCAATCGGCTTCGGTGGTTACTTAGCACGACAATAGTTTCAGAACCGCTGGCTACTTAATAAAAAATAGGCACGCTAAGCGTGCATGTGGCTACCGCTTTTAGTTTCTATATATTCACATAGCTTCAATGTTATGCATGAGTCAATTCCATGAGTAACCATCCCCCCCCCGGGAACACACCCGGGCATTTGATTTGATTGGTTATGATAGTGTAAATGCCCGGGTGCCGGGACACAACTTGAAGACTAAGCTGAGAGTGGAAAATGCCCCACCCCGGGGACGATTTTACAGTCGATTTCACGAAACTTTGACCACAAATGTTCGGAACTTCGTTGCGAAGTTCGCAAGTTCGTTGCGAAGTTCGGAAGCTAATATTGGAATTCACAAGCCAATTTGTAAACAAATAGTATATAATCATAATCATTTAATAACATTATAGTATTAAACTGCTATGGAATATTATAAAACATAAACCTTTAATAGTTCGCTTATTCTTACAATAAATTTCACGCCACCTTGACCACGAGGGCGCAAAATACAATCAGCGCGTCCACATGCGTGGCTGAAACTAGGTTTTGCTGCCTTAAAATTTGTGGGTGGGATTCTGGGCAACCATTTGTCAAATCCCCGGGGTCCTCCAATACCCGGCCCCCGTGCACATATATGAAAGGCAAATTCCCGACCCCCGTGAACTGTCTATCGCGCAAATTCCCGGGGGTGTCCCGGGGAGGATGGTTACTCCAGGAATTGACTCATGCATTACTTTGAGTGTAACACTTGTTACACTCTGTCAAACCGCTAGCTGTGGCCTACGAAAACTTTCATTTCTTTGTGGTGTAACACTTGTCATGCTCAATCAGACCGCTGGCTGTGGTCTGCGCAAACGTTCGTTTCAGTGTGGTGTAACACTTGTTGGGTAACACCTAAAAACAAACAAAAATAAACAATTAAAACAAAGATGAAAAATTTCGTATTATTTCGCAGCCAATAAATTACTGCTGTGGGACTTTGAACATAGCCCGCGTGTAGGCCCAAGGGAACTGATAGTGGGCCTGCAAGCAAGGCCCGGTATTTTGTAAAACGCCCCTTTTCATAACACGCCCCCATTCGCGCGTCAATTGTCAAAAAAGAACCAATGACAGCACCCAAATATTGACAAACAAACTCGCATTAAAATGTTGCGGGGTTTTCTCTGCATATTCAGAACATAAACAATGTGTATTAAAATGGCTGCGTTCTAACTCCAAGAAAGCAAGCAACGCAGTCAGTAATTGCCAAATTTGCAAGTGCTCATTTTCAACTAAAATCGTAACAGAAATCCAGTCTCAAACTTCAAATCGTGAGGGAAGTCGTGCGACCACATTAGCATTCGCTGTCGCCATTGTTATAAATAAATTGTCTCACTTATCAGATCGTGTGTGCAATTCTTGTTGGCGGCGGAAAGTACGAAATTTATTTCAGTTATTTCATTTGGTAAAGAACTCTACAAAAGAAGAGAGCGTTCCGAGTCCAGATCGTTTC